GGCTTCCCCATGTCGTACGACTGAATGGACGGCAGCCCTAGGTTGAGCCACTGGTAACTCAAGATTTCTTCGTATCAGGAGAAAAATCTTCCAATAGTTGCAGACTCGTAACTTAGAATACTGGTGTTTTGGGAAGCTCGTATCTTGTGCGTCCACTGTAGTTCTGGACAAACACAGGTCTCCGTTAGTTGGCATCGTTAAATGGTTGTAATCAAGTTGCTGGTTCTAACGCTGCTTTAAGATAAAAATGACCTGAAATACAGGAGGTCGGCAAAAACAGCTCAAGGTTAGCAGGTAAACAAGGGGAGAACAATGGTGGAGCTGTTACCATGTCAGTGAAAAGAAATCCAAGCACTGCAGCTCCGACCTGCAGCAACAGAATCAGTACCAGGATCCCTAGGAACTGCAGAAACACATGAATAGACAGATGTTGTTTGCTTTAAAACAGAGTGTGTCATCATGAGTTATTTTTAATAGTGTGGTGCAGTACTGTCTTCAGCAGACAGGTGGCGTTCCTCAGGGCTCCACAACATCCAAGGAAGGTGATTAGAAACATGAGGGAACCGATGGTGATGAGAAGTAAAGCTGGGTCTACAGTTAGAGTGTCCACAACGTCTGTAAGTACGCACACACACACATACACACACACACACACACACACCTTAGGTCGTGGAAAGTTGTTCATGTTAATAATAACAGACTGATGAAACTATGGAGTTCCCCAGAGATCAGAGCCGGGACCAGTCTTTTATGTTATATTATATTACACCAAACCTCATAGAGAAAATGAATGATTTAAGCTCACAGGCTTTGGTGTCAGTTGGTTTTCTACCTGGTTCGTGTTGACTGTGAAGTACTGACCTTTCTCTTTTGCCATTTTGGCGTAGATTCCGACGGCAATAAGGACGGAGCTAAAGACCTGCAGACACGCACACACAGACACACACAAACCAAACCCCTGATTGACAGACTCTCCCAAGGATCAATTTTTAACAAACGTGCTAAGCTGACTCTGTTCAGTGATTTATATTTATATGAATTATATAAAACATATTTTGAGGGACATTTAAATTATATTGAAGATAACTTTTAGCTCTTTCAGCTACTCCATTTAGCTAACTGTTAACATCTTTTGTCAACTTTTTTCATGGTTTTGTCAAACATTGTCGTCGAGCTTCAATTAAGAATGTGAATAAACATCAGTTTGTTCTGAGACTCACCCAGAAGACATAACAGCAGATGAACAGGGTGTATTTGATTCCTCGGTACCCTCGCATGTCTGCTGCTGCTGCTGCTGCTGCTGCTGCTGCTGCTGCTGCTGTGGTCCAACATGTGTCTGCCTGTCTCTCACATTCCTTTCTTCTCACCTGTCCAACCACAACACACCATTCCACTGCTTCCACTTAAAAAAACACTTGGATTTTCCACTGTAAACTCAGGAAAGTGCCACCTATTGGCTGAACCGTGTTTCACAGCATCCGCGTCACCAATCATGATCAGTCATTCAAAGAACCATGGCACTTTAAGATGTTTGAATGACAAACATATTCAGAGCTCACTGAGCCAAAACCTCCTTGGCCAGCTGGGTGGCTGCATTAAACCCTGACCCAGGACACTGATCCAAACTCCCAGACAAATCTGCATCTGCATTTTTCCAGCACACCTGAGACCTCCGTCCTTCTCTTTGTCAGACTTTGTAAACCATTAACTTGACCACACCAAACCTCATACAGAAAATCAGGGATTTAAGTTCAGACCAAGGCAGACCAGTCATTTAAGCGCAGAGACACAGGAGACACTGGTCCACTGCTGCCCCCTGTGGTCAGTCTGTGTCACTGGGGTCAATCTGAACAGAATTTCAAACAGTGACGTCACAGAGAAAGTGAGTAGAGATAGTGTTGTTGTGGCAGCAGTGTGTGAGGATGAATGGAGTTCTTGTGTCTGTGTTGATAATCAGCAGCTGAAGTTTGACCTGGTCGTTAACAAAGATAATTAATCATTAAACTGAAGCAGATATTTTCACCAGCAGACACTGAGTCACTGGCACAGAGAAAACTGAAGTCAACATGGCCGACAGCACAGTCTCTGCAGGTCTGACACCGGCGGAGCTTCCCACTCACCCTCTCACCCACCTGATCTCAACTTTTCTCATTGTTAACTCATATCTCAGCCACTTTTCTGTCCTCGTCCTTCAGGTGGCAGCAGCGTTGGCAGCATCACCACTCAGTCTCCACCCACCTCAGGCGTCGGTGTGGCGGCTGCTGACATCGCTGTTGTGGTCGTCTACTTCTTCTTCGTCATGGTGGTTGGCATCTGGGTGAGAAGATCTATTTGTTTGTTGTTGTTGTTGTTGTTGAGTGTTTAGGTACTCACCATTCACACATGGAGCTCATGGTTTGTGTCAACAGTCATCGGTTCGAGCCAATCGCAGCACAGTGGGCGGTTACTTCCTTGCTGGACGTTCTATGACCTGGTGGCCTGTGAGTCACTCATTTCTCTATAGACTTTGGTCTAAACTAAAATCACTGATTTTCTCTATGGGGTTTGGTTCCTGGGAGTGTGTATTTTGTGACATTAATTGTTTTGTTGTTGTTGACAGATTGGAGCGTCGCTTATGTCCAGTAATGTGGGCAGTGGGCTGTTTATCGGTCTGGCAGGAACAGGGGCAGCAGGAGGGGTGGCAGTGGGGGGGTTTGAATGGAACGTAAGGAACATCCATAGCACAGATCAGACATCTGTCCAAATGTGGTTATCATTTAATACAGTGTGTGTGTGTGTGTGTGTGTGTGTGTGTGTGTGTGTGTCCAGGCAGCCTGGGTGCTGCTGGCTCTGGGTTGGATCTTTATTCCCGTCTACATCTCGTCTAACGTGGTGACGATGCCGGAGTATCTGTGCAAACGCTTTGGAGGAAAGAGGATCAGGATCTACATGTCTGTGCTGTCACTGATCCTCTACATCTTCACAAAGATCTCTGTGAGACACACACACACACACACACACACACCCCACTGTACTACAGTCATCCCTCTCCTATCGTGGTAGTTCCGTTCTAAGACCCACTGTGAAAAGGGAAAATCTGCAAATCTGTAGAGGCGAGATAATTATTATATTATTTACATGTGTGTGTGTGTGTGTGTGTGTGTGCACAGACAGACATCTTCTCTGGAGCCTTGTTCATCCAGGTGTCCTTTGGCTGGGACCTGTATCTGTCCACAGGAATCCTGCTGCTGGTCACTGCTGCCTACACTGTGGCAGGTGGACACCAACACTGTCAGACATTACTAACAGAGAACTGATGTTTGTGAACCACTTACTCTGCCAAACCAAACCTCATAGAAATAATCAGTGATTGTAGTTCAGACCAGATTCTATAGAGAAAATGACTAACCTTTCTCTGGACTGATGGATGGATGGATGGATGGATGGATGGATGGATGGATGGATGGATGGATGGATGGATGGATGGTGTACAAACACCAGTTGTATATGTTTTTTGTCTTAATCTAGAGAAATCAACATTCTTAAATATGACCAAAATAGTTTTCTGTATATTGAGAAGACAAAAAAAGACAAATAATGAATTAGCATGTATTCATTTGGGCAGGTTTAGTGGTCAAGGTTGAAGTTTATATTAAATGTGTGTGTGTGTGTGTGTAGGTGGTCTGGCTGCAGTCATCTACACTGATGCTCTCCAGACTGTCATCATGGTTGGCGGAGCGTTTACGCTGATGTTTATTGGTGAGACGTAAACACAGAGAGGACACAGACAAGACAACAACACCAACAAAACACTCACGCTGTCTTTGTGTGTGTGTGTGTGTGTGTGTGTTAGCATTCACCAGAGTGGGCTGGTACGAGGGTCTTGTTGACCGTTACATGTCAGCTGTTCCCTCAGTAGTGGTTCCCAACACTTCCTGTCACCTCCCTCGCAGCGACGCCTTCAGAATGTTCAGAGACCCCGTGAGCGGAGACGTTCCCTGGCCTGGACTCATCTTTGGACTCACTGTTCTGTCCACCTGGGTGTGGTGCACCGATCAGGTGACTAACTGCTGCACAGCATCAGCATCAGCATCATCATCAGCATCATCATGAAGAGTCCCCCTCCACCCCATCCCAACACACACACACACACACACACACAGACAGAGATTTTAGACTCAGCAGCTGTTGATCCATCACTGGGTTCTAATGAGACTGACCTCAGTGACACAGACTGACCACAGGAGGCAGCAGTGGACCTGCAGCCCCTGTGTCTTCCTGAACTACAGTCTCCATCTCTTTGATGGTGGCTGTGGGTTCAATCAAGTGTTAAACACTGGTGCCTCGGAGAGAAGGTTCCTGGTTTGAATCCCTGCCTGTGTGTGTGTGTGTGTGTGTGTGTGTGTGTGTGTGTGTGCAGGTGATTGTACAGCGTTCTCTTTCAGCTAAATCTCTGACTCATGCTAAAGCAGGAAGTGTTCTAGGTGGTTACCTCAAACTGCTGCCAATGTTCTTCATCGTGATGCCAGGCATGATCAGTCGAGCACTGTTCCCAGGTCAGTCAGAGTCTGTGACACAGTCCAATCAACTGTAGAGTGGACTGATCCTTCATCCTGTCTTTGAAACCTGTGGTCAGGTGAATGTTTCATCATCATCATCATCATCATCATCATCTCTCTCTCTCTCTCTCTCTCTGTGTGTGTGTGTAGATGAGGTGGCATGTGTGGACCCAATGCTGTGTCAGAGTGTGTGTGGAGCTGCAGTCGGCTGCTCCAACATAGCATATCCTAAACTGGTGGTGGAGCTGATGCCTGTGGGTGAGTCTGATACACTGAGCTGTGAGAGCGCCCCCTGCTGCCGTTACTCCACCCTGATCTGTTTTTCAGTACCAGAAAACCTGGGACTAAAGTTTGAAACATTTCCTGTGTCTCAGGTCTCCGTGGTCTGATGTTGGCTGTGATGCTCGCCGCCCTCATGTCATCGCTTACCTCCATCTTCAACAGCAGCGCCACCTTGTTTACTCTGGACCTGTACCATCGAGCCCGACCCGCAGCCTCTGAGATGGAACTGATGATCGTTGGAAGGTAGAGGTCAGCTGACCTGTGACATCACACTGTAGCCACTGTGGTCAGCTGACCAGTGACAGGCAGTTTGGTTTTTAAGTTCAATAAAATGACCGTCTCTTTGTCAAGTGAGCCTAAAGGTTAGCATGAAAGTAGCAGAAATGTCATTGGCCCTGACCCTTGTATGTGCGTGTGTGTGTGTTTCAGAGTGTTCATCCTGTTCCTGGTGTGTATCAGTATCCTCTGGATCCCAATCATTCAATCAGCTAACAGTGGTCGGCTGTTTGACTACATCCAATCAGTAACCAGCTTCCTGGCTCCGCCCATCACGGCTGTCTTCCTTACTGCCATCTTCTGGACACGAGCCAACGAACAGGTCAGTGTGAGGTCCCGTGAAAACACACATACAGTACAAGTGAAGTCGTTAGCAATATTGCTAACATCCATGCTATGACAAACCTGCCTTGAAGGTCGCTAATGCCTTAATGTTAGCAACATTTTGGTGCTGTGTGTGTGTGTGTGTGTGTGTGTGTGTGTGTGTGTGTGTGTCAGGGAGCCTTCTGGGGTCTGATGTGTGGCCTTCTGGTGGGTCTGATCCGGATGGTTCTAGAATTTTCATACTCTGTTCCTGCCTGTGGAGAAGTGGACCTTCGACCTGCTGTGCTTGCTGACGTGCACTATCTGTACTTTGCACTCATCCTATTGGCTATCACGCTTATCACCATCGCTGTGGTCAGTCTGGCCACGCCTCCAATCCCGGAAGAACATGTAAGGAAAGCAGGGTGCGGGGGGTTCTTCCTACTCAGACAGTTCAGATAAGTCCTTTATATTAAGTCCCATCTCATCTAAGCAAAGCTACACTAAGTTAATACATTGATAGGAAGAAAGGGTTATAGTAAAGGTTAGCTACAGGCTACATGTTAGCCTGAATATATTTCTCACTACATGTCCACAGAACTCAAAGAAGAAACTTAAAAAACTGAAAGTCAGTCCAAAACCAGCTAAAGTTCAGACAGAACTGAACCGGACATCACCTCCTGTCTTCTGTCCCTGCAGCTCCACAGACTGACGTGGTGGTCCCGACACAGCACAGAACCTCGGGTCGACCTCTCAGGACCCCCACTGACCTCTGACCCCTCCATCTGTGACCAGAGCACTGACTCCGAGCCTGAGGTGAGGTCATGGTTGCGTCGAGCAGCTCTGTGGCTCTGTGGCCTGACGGGGGCGTCCTCCAACCCTGGGACCACCTCTGGGTCCAGACACAGCGAAGTGAGTGCTCTGCAGGAGGATCCGTTCTGGAGACGAGTCTGTGACGTCAACGCTCTGCTGCTGCTCCTGATCAATGTTTTCCTGTGGGGCTTCATGGCCTGAGCACCAGCTGCTACCACCACGCCACCAACAGGACAATGTTTTTTCCTCAAAAGGATTAGTGTGAACTGGTCAAACAGTAAGTGGAGCTAGAACCATTCATTCTTTTGAAATGTGATTGTCTATAATTAGGATGGAAGTTAACGAGAACTGATCAACACAAAGATGATGTTAAAGATGTGGGTCACAGAATATTGAATGAACAAAAACAATGATTTTCCTTTTTTATTACCATTTGTCCAATAAAGAAAATTCTGGATCAGAAAAAAGTTTGGTTCTAGGGAAATCGGAAGTGGAGTTAGTGCAGGAGAAGGGTCCACTGACTGAAGCAGGAGAGGAATAAAGGAGGTGGCATGAAGAAGTGAGTTTTGATGTTGTTGTGACACTGCTGTTCGGTGGAATCAAACTTTGTGTCTCAGGAAGTGGAGAACCAGGAAGTGGAGGTGTGTTGGTCAGTTGTTGGACTGGTGCATGATGAGCGAACACAAACTTAACAACTGGAGGTATTCGTCCGCTCCATCCAACAGACACTTCCCCACCACCTGACAACAACGGGAAGTCAGCGCGTTAGCATTGGTTTTTTGAACAAACGATCAATCGACTCATTGATTGTCTGATCTACTGATCAGGAGGCGGGGCTTACCGCCATCTTCTCAGTGATGGCCGACTTCTGCTTGTCACTCAGATGGCCTTCAACAATGGCATCGTGGAGCTGAGTCAGGATCTGAGTTGCAGCGTAGCCGTCATCCACTAGCTCCTGCAAAAGAAGCCAGAGTTAGCTAACTGTTAGCAATACACGACGGACGGTTACTTTAACTACACTGGAGGAGTTGGTTCGTGTGAGCAATAACTGACTCAGTAAGAGTTAGCAGAGATGAGAAAGACCAATCAACCAAAGTAGTTCACTAGACCATTTGATAGTTAGTAGGTAAGTTAACCTAACACATAACCAAACTAGATCAAGGTTAACAGCACATTAACCAACACAGAGGAGAAAACATTCAGACGTGACCAAAATCATTTATAGTTCATTTAAAAGCACTTCACTCTGTGGGTGGTGTTGTGTTTCTGTCCTTATACAGTAGGTGGTGCTACATGCACATTTAAAGCCCTGTTCCATCATTCACACTTACTGCTCAGTGTGTTTATCAGTGTATTCACCCAGTAACTGGCTCAGAACCTTCTCACCAAGAAATAATGAGAACATAGACTGTCTGACACTGATGTAGCATTTAGCTGTAGCATGTAGTGAATAGGTTGACCTCGGAGGTGACCCTGTAACTCACTCTGATCACCACCTCCAGTTTCTCAAATGTTCCTCTGAAGCAGACCTGCAGCAACTTGTCGATGGTTTTTGGAGGAACCACCTGCAGAGGGCGCAGTAGTCATTTGACTGTGTAACATTAACAGACATCAGAGCTGTGACATCATTTCGTGTGTGTGTGCGCTCACCCCAGCGATTTCAATGACACTAGTCTCTGTGATCTCTCTGTCCATACTGAGGCGGGCGGCACTCTGGAGCAGGGTAATGGCCTTCCGCAGGTCGCCCTCCGACACCTGCACCAAAGCTGAGATACTCTGCACAACGGAGGGTGGGGGAGAGGAAGAGCAATCAGAAAAGATGAAAGTCAGGATGACTCCGTTTCACCCCCACAGCTGTACTTTAGCCCCACCCCCACCTCTCTGCTGTACTTTAGCTCCTCCTTCTCACAGATTGACAGCAGCCTCTCCTCTTGAATCTGATTGGCCAAAGGCTTGAAGCGAAATTTAGAACATCTGGATGTCAGTGGTTCGATGATCCTGGGAGAGAAGAGAGTTAGAGAGAGTGGTGTGTGTGTGTGTGTGTAAGGTTTCAGTCATTTGAGGCGCCGGATGACATCACAGTGATGACATCACAGAGAGTGTGTGTGTGTGTGTGTGTGAGGTTTCAGTCATTTGAGGCGCCGGATGACATCACAGTGATGACATCACAGAGAGTGTGTGTGTGTGTGTGTGTAAGGTTTCAGTCATTTGAGGCGCCGGATGACATCACAGTGATGACATCACAGAGAGTGTGTGTGTGTGTGTGTAAGGTTTCAGTCATTTGAGGCGCCGGATGACATCACAGTGATGACATCACAGAGAGTGTGTGTGTGTGTGTGTGTGTGAGGTTTCAGTCATTTGAGGAGCCGGATGACATCACAGTGATGACATCACAGAGACCTGCTGATGTAGTTACAGATGAGGCAGAAGCGTGTGGTGCGAGACTCCTTCTCCATGGTTCTCCTGAGAGCAGCCTGAGCTGGAGCTGTCATGGAGTCTGCTTCATCCAGGATGATGATCTTGAACGGAGGACAGGGCTTCCCACTGACAAGGAGAAAAAGAGGAGGGCAAGAAAGAGGATGTCCAGATGTAAACTCAAGAAAAAAGAAGAAGAGAAGATGAAGGAGCAGTCGATCGGTCTCATGAACTCACTCTGGTCGACTTCCTGCCACTGTCAGCTGAGCAAAGTTCTTCACCTTCTCTCTGACCACTTGGATACCTCGTTCATCCGAAGCGTTGAGTTCCAGCACCCTCTGTCTGAAGAGCTGAGGACTGCAGCAACACCACATTTCAGAAAAAAACCAGAGGAGAGAAGTTCACCATCACCATCATCATCATCACCACCATCTTCTCTCACCCATAAAGTTCTCTGGCAGCTGCCAGAATGGTGGAGGTCTTTCCTGTCCCAGGAGGTCCATAGAACAGGAGGTTAGGGAGCTGAGAAGACACAGAGAGAGAGGAGGGATCTCAGCACATCGTCCCTAACAAAGTAGCCATGAGTGTGTGAGACTGAGCTTCTTACATCTGCTCCATCCAGAGACTTCTTCAGAACTGCCACCACCTCCTCCTGAAAGGCCACTTCATCCACACACTTTGGTCTGCTGTGTGTAACACACACACACACACACACACACACAACAGTTTAGCTACAGCATCAGCTTACATGTATAACTGCACATCTAGAGCGCCCCCTGCTGACACACTCTATACTAGACTAGTAGGTGGCAGTAATGACTCTCACAGTATCCAGTTATGCTGATATAGACAAAAGAGGAGAAAGCAGGGTTAGCTTAGCCTAGCTATGGTGAAGACAGTAATAAAAAGTTACATATTAACACATTGCGAATCCCTAATTTATATTCAGTCACTGCTGTTTTCCAGATTAGATTTATATGAACATACAACACCTTATGTGAATCAGTGAACTGGGCTTTGAATCTGTACTTTGCGCCACCTTCAGAGCTACATGTGCAATGTTGACAAACAACAGAGAGAAAGAGAGAGAGAGACAGACTTACTACTTCTCTACCCAGGGCACAGCTCTGGTTTTCCTCTCAGCTCCTGCTGATGAAGACGACGAGGTTTTATCTTTCTGAGCTCTGACAGACTGAACCGCAGATCCTTTCAAAAACGCCTGCATGTTTCCTGAAATACACACTACTGTGAGAAGGACCGCTGGTGGACAACAGTGATGCTGCAGCTGACACATAAACTCTGTTGTTTATATTCGTTCATCCGTCCTCATGAAACACGTTTACAACGGGCAGTGAGGAATTACTTTTGAACTTCATCGTAAAAACATGTGTCGTTAATACTGAATTAACGACACATGGGTCGACTGGTATTTGAGGAAACAGTTCTGGTGCAGGAACTTTCCACATAGTTTCATGTTTACCAGTATAATTATATCGTGTATTTTTTTTTATCAATGTCTGGATGAACATGAGCGCAAAATATGTCTTAAACGCGTTTTTTTTAAGAGAAAATCGAAGTGAAAACCGTGTTATCTACAGCAGTTAGCAGGTTAGCGTTTTGGTCTGTCCATAAACGTTTAAACACAGAATTCACCTTTTTATCAAAGCTGTGACGTCAATGATCATCGGTGTGATGTAGTCTCTTTGTTTGGCTTGTTGTCTCTTTTGCGATATTTTGTCTCTGAAAAACTAAAACTAAGCTTCACTCCGTCACAACAGCTTCTTCTTCCCGCGCCACAGTACATCATATCCGCCGACGAAATTTCCGCCGTCATCCAATCACAGGCCGTCAAACTCGAGTTGATTCACGCCTACTCTGATGTATTCTGACACCTCCCCCGTGTAAGAAGCTTCTTCTGCTTCTTATTCGTCTTCTATTGGTGGTGGACGGAGAACAGTGTTTTTTTAAACTAAAGATTATTTAGATTTCATCTAAAAGTACCAACATCGACATCGATGGAGATGAGACACAGGGACGACAGCGTAGTTAATCGGATGTATTCACTCGCGTTAAAGCATTTCAACCTTTAACTTTAACTAATTGATTTCTCCAGCACCACTTCACTAAAAACACCGGCACAAAATAAAATAAACCAATCGGTCCAACGGTCGCGACATTTGACGTCAGACGCCGAGAAAGTTCGTCGCGTGCTTTAAAATCCACTAGTGAACGACGTGATGGTCAATGGTGGCTCGATCTAGTCAGGATGAAGGAATCAGACAGAACGGTGAGAGACTTTTGGACTTTTATTCTCTATTGTTGGCGGTTTGACTAAGTGGATTGGCGTTAGCTAAGTAGCTTAGCCTTTACCGGAAGTGGAAGAAAACTTTGTGTTTAGTCTGTGAATCACGGTCATGTCAGTATTTAAAGTCCAGCTTCAGTGACTTCTACACAAACTGTTGACGTCGTATCGACAATGTCTGAAGTGAGTCCAAAAAGTAAAACTAAAACTTGACTTTCCAGAGGCAGGTGACTCCAAAGATTTCTTCTATTGCCTTATGTATTGCATCCCAGTAAGTTTATGTGTTTCCACACTTTTGTCAGCAAGCCAGGGAATGGCCTTTGTCGTGGGACTTTTGGTAAGGTGTAATAAAATATCTTATCAGGCTTTTCCAGCCAAATCCTCTCCAACTCTGTCTGAAACTACTACATTTCTTGTTTGGTTAAAGCAGACTTGTTTTTAGTTCTGCTGCTGTAGGCCTCGACTGCTGGGGGAAGTCCCATGATGCACATGCTCTTCTAAGAAACACATGCAGTGTCATGACAATAACCTGGTCTCCACTTTGTTCACTCCACTTCTCTTTGTCACCATCTACCCCCCACCCCGCCCCACTCTGTCCACACCGACTCTCGATCAGGGCTGTTTCCAACCATCTGTTCAAATTATTTTTCTATTCTGTCATAAATGTTTGACTTTGGAAAAAACAGACACAAATCACATGTTAAGATTCTAGGTTTAATTTTCAACTGTTTTTACAGCGCTGTCATTCAAACACAAACACACACACACACACACACACACACACACACACACACTACTGTGGTTTAGTAGAAGTTTTTTGGGCTGGCCATCTTAAAAACAATTCAAGCAGCCCTGACATTTGGTGACATGTTTCCTGAATAAGCCACACCCCCTCTCTGTCAAAGTCCTTCAACCTTTGAAGGATCCACATCAGACCAAGAAAAACTGGATCGGAGTCTTCACCTGGAATAGTACAGAATAGGAGTCCATAAAGACAAGCAGTGACTTTAGTTCAACAGCAGCTGCTGCTTTTACTGGTATTCAAGTATGCCTGCATTGGTTGGCCAGTCAGACTCACGTCACGGCTGCTCCTCATTGCTGCTGCTTGGCGTTCGATTACGTATTTGACTCCTCAGCTGTTCAATGAGTTCTGGGTTCTGCTGCTGCATCTGCTGAGCAAACTGCTGGCCCCTGGTGGACACAGAAAGTTGAAGAAGCAATTGTTACCTAACCCCACCAGTCCGCCTCCTGATGTGGAATTCAAAGCCTACTCTGATAGGGAGTACATACGCCTGGATTAATCCTGATAAGTCACCAGCAGGGGCGGGGCCGCCAGACAAAGCTGTGGCTGGAGCTGCAGCTGGAGCTGCAGCCGGAGCTGCAGCTGGAGCTGCACCTGCAGCACCACCCATTGGCCCATATGCTCCTGACATCATCCCTGACATCCTGATAGGAACAAGAGCAGAGGCTGTATTTACATCTGAACTAAGAAGTGGAAGAGTTGGGAAATGGAGAGAGAAGAAGAAACTCACAGCTGCTGGACCTGAGGATTGTTCATCAAGGACGAGGCCTGAGGCAAGAAGAAAAAAAAAACACAGACAACAATGACAACATCTACAGTTGTTTTACTTTCATGTCTGCAGTTAGCATATCTAAGCTTCAAGAGAGTTTGCTACTTTTACTGCCAAGTTAGCATTTATTACCCTGAAAATAAGGCTACTTGTGCTAACCTTTAGCTTTCATTCAACATTTATAGCTAACATGCTTTTTCTTGTGTTATTTTGGATTATCTTTCTTCTTCCTGTTTGTACCCTGGCTGCACTCTCGTTATCTGCTCAGTCTGACTGGTGGGTATCCTGCCAAAAGCTAAGCTAACAATCAGCTTATTGTTCAAGTGGGTGTGGAACCATTGGTTGGCTTAATGTTGTGAATGAGAACCAATAACAGTGTGGTTACAGAGAAGTTCTCACCATGTTCATGAAGCCTGGGTTACTGAGTAAACCTGCCAGGTCGACTCCGCCCACCCCTGCTGTCTGAGGAGAGGGAGAGCAGATGAGTTTAGGTGAGGTCCAGGTGAATCAGGGAGTCACAAAGAGTCAAATATTAGTTATTCTCACCGGACTGCTGGTCTCCATCTTCTCTTCTGCTACCTTCAGGTTGTTCTTGTATGTGTCATTGTCAGGGTCCAGTTCCAGAGCTTTTTTATAGTAACTGGCTGCTTCTGTGTGTTTGTTCAGACTGGCTAGCGCCAACCTGAGGCAGGAGACAGTAGCTCAGATGTCATTAATCACTAAATCGGATGGATCAATAAAGTTAATCTATCAGTAGTTAGAGATGGAACCAATCTAATAACCAGCAGGAACCACTTTAACAGAACCAGATCCCTCTTCCTCACAAGTTCTAGTGCTGGTCTACAGCCTGTGATCCAGGAGCCTGGCCCTGAAGTCAGTGCCGTCTAATATGTAGATAGCAGATAAGACGGAGGTGAAATTTTCAATCAACAACATGATGTCACTGTTTTCAGCAGAGTAGTGACGTGGACGGATGGTCAGAGCTTGCTGATACTGCTGTGTGAACTCATCATTAGCTTCATGTACAATATTAAATCTCCTGGTTTTTAAGACATTCACTATGAGAGTACTGATGACATCATCACGTGACTCTGACTCACCCCATCCTGCCGAAGGCCTTGCTGTAACTGGGGTCGATGCTGATGGCCAGTTCACAGTCCTGGACTGCTGCGGCGTAGTTTCCCAGTTTACTGTAAGCTGCAGCTCTAGGGGAATGAGTGTGGGGTCACACAGCAGCAGACAGAGACAGACACACAGGTGAGGACCACAGACCTGACTCAGGTGGTGTTTACATGGCAACTATATGACTATGGATCCCGGAGCTTAAGTGCCGATTAAGCCTTGCATTGAATCCAAGTGTTGGAGCAGAGAACGCTGTGATATTGGACCACGGCTCCCACAGTGGTGTAACACCTGGTTTTGGTATGTTAGAGCAGAGATGACAGTGCCACACACAGGCTTGGCATATGTACTACATTTAAACACTGAATTTTCTTGCCCCTGAGGTGCATGAACGCTTTGTATCAAGAGGTTTCGTAGTCGTATCTCAGCAGTGTAAACAGGACCTGACTCCACCGTTAAGGTCACATGACTGACCTGTTACAGAAGTACACGGCGTTGTGAGGGTTGATGGTGATGGCCTTGGAGTAGAACTCCACAGCTGCCGCAAAGTTCTCCACCTTCATCTGGTCGTTACCTGTGTACAGATCAGAAGATCCAAACATCACACAGACATTAGAAAAAACTACAGATGAGGAGGAGGAGGAGAGGAAGGAGACAGAATCATGTTTAATGATGTAAACAAGAAAGGAAAGAACAACGACAGGAGGAGGAGGAAGAAGACAGGAGGACAGCAGAGGGAGAATTAACAGAGGGAGGAAAGCAAGAGGGGTGAAGGAGGTGAAGGTGCGTTAGCTGATGGAGGAGAAACAGTGACTCTGTCCATGGTCCTGATCTCACCATCACATTTAAGTCGCTCAGCTTCAGCTCTCTGTTCTTCACTGATGGACGAAGGAGTGGGTGAGGAGGAGTTGTTGTTGACCTGAGATGACTACACACACACACACACACACACACACACGTGTCAGCTGATCAGACTGAACTTCTGGTGAGCCAGATGAATGATTGACAGGTGGTTCTTCTACCTTCTGTGTGGCCAAAGCAAAGATCTCTGGGAGTGTTATGGCCACAGCCAGACTCTGGTCTTCAGTGGACACTTCAAACGCTGTCTCCAAACACTGGACGGCGACTGAGGCGGGACACACCACAAAAACATGAACAACACCTAAGTGTGGACCAGCAGACAGAACCATCTGCTCCCTGACTCTGATCTTTGATGACTTTAGTTCTGACCTTTTACACTGTGTGTGTGTGTCATTAGTAGTAATATTTTAGCTTGACTGTTCTGTGATTCTGTGCCATTACGCAACAGAGTATCAGTGCTCTCTTGACTTGACAGGCTGTTGTCCTGTGACCTGCTCCTAAAATCAGGACCAAATCAGAGAGATGTCGATTCTGATTGGACAAACCTGAAGAGTTGACCTAACCATAAGACTTATGGGCAGATCTGTCGGAACTATCCGGGAGCTTACCCTCCAGACTTTCCTGGGCATCAGAGGAGCGATTCCCCGACTGAAGCTGATCATGGAGGAACTGGATGATAGAGAAAGCGAGGCGTTTGTGGTCGGTCATGGTGACGCAGGGTCAGACCTCTTTGTTCCACTGAGTGGAGAGAGAATCTGCAAAAGGCAAATCATCAGCCTGAGTAGAACCACCAAGTGACAGTGACTGACGTTGTGTTTTACATTCGAAGCCAATAGAAACAGCAGAACAACAGGTGGAAACTAACGGTGTCAGTCTGTGATTCCAGTCTTGTCAGTCTAGTGTAGGTCAAACATATCAGTTCCTCTGCTGTGTAAACTAAAAAGTATGAGGTCTTCCTGTTGGTTCCACTGGTCAAAGTTAGTTCCGTGGGATTCTTCCGGTGTCCCCGAGTCCTGGTCGCACCTGGATAATGGTTCTGCCCCTTGTTCCAGTCTAAACACACATGGAACTCCGTACCAGTTTGCACGTCATGTGTAAAGTCTCCGCGCCTTAATTGTTATAAGTGACAACCGACTTCTGCTAAAATGTCACAAATTAATTGAACCGAATCTAAAATAGTGTATGTGGATTTAAAGCCAAGAGGATAACATGCCGCTGTAAACGGTTCAGTGTGAATTTCAAGGTTTTTTCATGTTTTGATTTGCTTAAATAAAGACCGCGGGTAACATGTTTAGGAAAATATCCTAGTTAAACATTTCTATTATGTTTACAGACTTTACTGACGAGTTTGCTATGCCTCGAAACACCAACCCCGAGCTAAAGGCTAGTTAGCTTAGCTAGTTTTGAATAAAATCGGATCCATTATTAACGTTAGAGCTCTATAACAATCATCTCTTCGTTTTAACGCTTCTAACACGCAGTTCTTCTCACCACTTGTTCTTCACAGGTGGTCTGTCCTTAAAACGAAGAGTTTTAACCGGCCTTTCACTACTCGTTTCTTCTCCGTTGCCTTCAGATAACTGATGACTGGCCTGACACGTACTTATGACGTCACATTAATGCGTCAGTAGTTCTGTACAGTCAGGGATGAGGGAAGGCTGTTCTCCGACCTGACCCTAAAGCAGATGATAGTTTGTTTTTCTCACGTTTTTCTCACTAAATCTAGATCTTTTCGACACAGCATTCGTCTTTTATCTTCGTCCCTTCGCTTTCATTCGCAGCCGAGGGTCGAGGGACGTCACGCAAGACTCCGGTAAGAAGCGACAAAATACTGTCGAGGAGTATTTTGGTAATGCTGTAGTGTCAGAGTTGCTACTTTAGAATTGCTAACCTGTCAAAATAGCACGCGTTCTTTTTTTTACGTCAGTCCAGTTCTGAATTATTCCACTGGACTGAGACGTGTCCACGGCCCTACTGATACAGCTAAAGGTAGTTAGCCTGAGCGAGTTTGTGTGTTAATGGTTTTTACTTCGAGGCGGCTGTGCAGAGAAACTGAGAACATAGGAAAACGTCTCTCAGTTCCGATTACTTCCATGATGCATACTTTAATTTAGGAGAAAAGAAAATTAAGCCACGGATCTTGTGTTTAAAGTGCTGTGTGGTATGAATGATTGGAGATGCTACAGGTGGCGCTGTTTCCTCATCAACATGAACATCGGCTCCAAAAGTAAAAAGAGGGTGGTGCTCCCCAGTCGTCCAGACCCGCCTACTGTGGATCAGATCCTGGAGGATATTAACCAGGCTCCCGCCACTGATGCAGTGTACAACGTCTTGGAGACGGCAGGACAAGGTGAGACCAGCACACAGCATCTGTTCTCGTCTGTCTTTCTCTGTTCTGTCTGTTTTGTCCTGTCTCCCTGTCTGCCACTCTGTCACTTTATCATCTGTCTCTGTCTCTCACCTCTGACCTTTGGTCTCTCTCACGTCTTTCTAGCCTGTCCATTACTGACCCTTTTCCCGGATTGTCTAGATTCCTCAGACTCAGACGTGGACGTAAACTTCCAACAGTGTCGTCAGTACATGGAGTTGAACCAACGGCTTCAGGTGTCTCTGGCACGTCTACTGACGCAAAAGGAGGAGCTTCAAGCAGCAGGAACAGGTCTTGAACGGGACATGGACAATGTAAGACGTCAATCACACTGACGCTGTGTGGGACAGACCTCATAAAGGGCGGACCACAGACCTGTGTCTTCAAGCCCATTACTGTGTAGGTGGAGCAACAAGAGATGACATGGGGTGTCTGATGTCAGCAGACTGGTGACATCACAGTTATGACATCACAGTGACTAATGTGATGAACCGACCTGGAGGATTTAAAACAAATAAAACAATAACTGACCATGGTCATCTGATTTACTGACATTTTTAGGCTTATTTATTTGACAATTTTTTAACACTGTCTACACTGAATAGTCTGACCTTTTAGCTATTTATTTGGCTTTACTTTTTTTACAATTAACTCATATTCTTGACTTACATCTAATACCATATTTAGGAAAGTGTTAGTCATCCTTCTATGAATTTGTAGTCATTTATTCTTCAGTTATATCAATACATTTAACAAAGTCTGTTTTCAACACTACATTTCTATAAAAATCACACAGATAAATAGGAGTGTCATGAAACACGTCACTCTTTATTAGGTGAAAACACTGATGATGTCACACACTTGTGTAAGTTCAGATTGTTAAAAACACCAGCATGGTCTTGTTCACACGTGTTGTTTGCTGTTTGCTTTTTTCGTTCTAACAGCAAAAACAAGGCTTGAAAAGTCTGCAGATTTTTGAAAAGGGTTTGGTGAGAAAGTTGCCTGATAACTTGGCTGATTTGGCTAATTGTTCTAGTGTCTGTTCTTACAGAAGTCTTTACGTGAGTAGAGACAGAAGTACTCACTGTGGAGAGACTGGTAAGGAGGTTCTCCAAAGTTCTCCCACAGTTGACTTTGAACTGAGCCCAGTGTCAACAAGGGCACTGAAATGTAAAAATCCCCAAAATCACTAATTTTCTGGATGAGGTTTGGTTTGGGAGCGCCAACAGTCTCCCATGTAGTAGGAGCTACGACATTCTGGAGTAAACGTGGAAGAAGATCACACTGGAGAAAACTCTTGGTCTGGCCTATCGCTACTTTTACAGCAACACAGAGAAGCAGATATTGACAGTTAGCTAATCTGGATGTGAAAAGGGCATGCCCCTGAGCCACCCTTGTCCAATCACAGGACAGCTCATTATATATCTGTCAGTGTATACTACGACATTATGATGTCACTAAGATGTTACTGGCTATACTCTTCTATGTTGACAGTTGGTAGCATCATCATTATTAGCATTAGCCTTGAGGAACTCTAGCCCACCCATTGGACTTTACTGCCCACCGCTGTGTCCAGAATGCTATTGCAATAGGTGGTGTTTACTGAGAGTGAATATATTAGCATGCTAACATGTAAGGGAGCCATGTAGGTTCTTCTGGAAGCTTAGAGGAGTTCCTATAATCTCACGTGGAGGGTATTTACAGGACAGATGAGGGCGCATGTGGGGGACACTTCAGACCAGAGACTGGATATGTAGAGGTGGACAAGCAGTTCTAGGATATTTTAAGTCTAAGGCATGAAGTACAGGCTAATTATTATAAACAGTACCTGGAACTATGTTCACTACTAGAAACAAGGAACTGTAGGAGGAACAATAAACCGAAAACGTAGTAGAACTCAGGAAGTCTATGTTCAGTGTCCACTGTAACATTTAATCAAATTCTTTTGTTAGAGCGCCCCCTTATTGATAAAACACATCGCTGCAGGACTTCTGGCTCCACCCAATGAAGACAAAGACCAACTATTATGCAGTTAAGGAACCTGAAAACTATACCAAAACCTGGACCCCACTGGTTCTGTAAGTACGAACAAAGATGTACAGTTGAATAATGAGGCGTTCATGTGCTGTATGTAAAAAATACTTTACACAATGGTGCGTTTGTGTCCTTCATGTGGACACTCACTACAGTCTGTACCACACAGGTAGATGTCCAGCTGACATTTCAGTTTATAGCTTTTGCATAATATTGTTCTTCCTGATTGTGTGCAGAACATGGACCGAGGTATCGATGTTCAGACGCCGTTCATTGTCTTTTACTTGTCATGTGCACTACAGCAGGAAAGGTTTGATATATTTAAATACAAAACAGGTAGAAAAAGAAGCATCTCCTTGTCTGTAGACGGTTCTGTTAGTCAGTTTTAGGTCAGGACCTGTCTAAATGCATACATCCCACTCCGTAGGATTCGTATAGATGGAAGCCGTTTAGACCAAATACCAGGGCTGGAGAAAACAAACAAACTAAAGGTTGAATATCCGAGGTACGTAGAAGCACAAACTTAGTTCCTCCAACGTCCACCTGAGTTTGGTTCAATGACGCATTTTGGTCCAGTTGTTCACCTTAGGACTCACTCTTACTGCCTGACTTCTCATTGACTTGGGCAGCCTGGTTCTGTGGGTCCTCTAGGCAACAAGCTATTGGACTCGGGGTGTAATTAAAGGGCGTGACACGGGCAGCCTTACTGGGGGATCCTTGGCGAAAATGGACAACTCCGCCAATATGACCATCTGTCATTCCCAATGAGGTGGCGCTGTGGCCCCTCCTGGCATACTCAGAATCACAGTCCTGGGTTTTACTTGGATTGATCTTTCTAAAAACAGAGAGTCGCGCCCCTTCTCCTGAAGTCACTGCAGCAGTATCAACATTTGAAGATGTGCCGGACTGTGTTTGGTTGTTGGTCAAATCCTCTGTCTGAACGGTTGCATCACTAGTCATGCGAGATGAAAGAACAATTGTTGGTAGTTTTCCTGAAGGAGCTAGTGACTTTGGCATTTCCCTGTCAGGAGAAGTCATCAAAGGTAAGGCATTGGCTGGCAAAGTGTTTTTTAAAATCTGTGGAACATCCTCATCCCTGATCCTCCTCCAGGTGGATGCAGACCTCAGACCTTTCTTCTGTGTGTCGTCTTCACTCTTTGCTCTTCCACTGGAATCAGATGATGAAGACCGTAAAGAAGAACGGCTGGTCACTCGGCTCAGTATGTTGATGCTTGGGGATGAGGCATGTCGTTTGACGGTATCTCTGTCTTGTGTTTGCTTGGTACCAGACATTTTGTTAGATGTGTTTCGCTGAGCCACCCTGCGAGGGCTTTCAGAACTTGTCCTCCTAGTTGGACGTCTCAAAGATTGATTTATTTCACTTGAGGTTGCTCTAGAGATTGCTGAGGTCCGCAGATGAAGGCTGGAGTTTGCCTTCTGGACCTGCCCTGCTTCTCCTGGACCTTTCACTTGTACCCTTCTTTGAGCTGCTTTAAGTTCTTGACAGCGGGATGAACAAAGGAAGACAGCTGAAGTTCCAGGAACAGTCCTAACGGGTGATCCAGTCTGAGATCTGGGCATGCAGCGTACTGATCCCTCACGCCTTAGTCCAGTCTTTGAGTCTTTAATAAAAGTCAGCTGTCTCATAAACCCACTTCGATCAGTGTCATCCCCACTGGAGTGAACTGAGGTCACTCTGACAAGGTCAAATCGACTGGGGGGGGGGACTTTTTTACCACTGACTTGATTGTTCTGTCTAGTGGTCATTTGGTTTGTGACCAGCGGTGACAGAGGTCTTGGTTGCCTGTTTGAATTTTGCATGAAAGGGATTCGAACAGGAGACTTCTGAGTTTTAGGAGGAGGAGACTTTTCATTTTGATTCACAACAGGAGATCGTCCCTTTCTTTCAGGAGGACTCACGGGTGGACAGCTCACAGGGGTGGAGTTTTTTTTCTGGCTGGATTTGTTTGTCTGAATTGGCGATGTTATCTTGTTCTGAATTTGTTTGGATGGTGTCGAGCTTTGTGAAGATCCAGATGATGAACTTTTTGGTATTCTGGGAGGCGGGGTAGAGCTCCTCTTTGGCAAAGACAGCTCTGTGTCCTGTGGGTAACCCAATCGGTGGAGACTCTTTGATCTTTGCTGGGCCAGATCCGGGTTCTTTGGTGCATCGGGCTTGGTTGTCACTTTTCTTGGGGGAGGTCTTTGCGATGGAGCAGAATCTTTTTTTGGTGTATAAATCACTGTTCTGCCTCTAAAAACAACTGGCAAGTTTGGAACAGGCTTGCGTTGTGCAAAGTCTAAAGGTTTGTTGGCCTTCTTGTCTTTAGCGAACTTCCTTTCCTTGGGTGTGAAGCTGGAAGTGGACATAAACGACAGCACCGACTCGGTCTCCTCAGAAGAAGGATCGTTGGACTTTGACGCTTGCAGCCCTGTGACCACGCAGTTGGCACCTTCTTGTATCGCTCGCCATTCCACGCTGTTGAGGTCCGAGTCGTCGTCCCATGCCATATAGTCGCTGTCCATTTCATCGTCCACATTCCAGCCGGCTACTTTTAGCTTTTGAGCAACTTCTGCTTTCTTCTTCCTGGCTGCAAGCTTCCTTCTTTGTTTGGGCATGGCAGATGTTATGCACTTTTGAAGAAGGTCGTCCTCTGAATCCATGCTCACAGAGCTGGGTGAACTCGGCTCTTCTAACTGGTCGTGAATACTCATCAACTTCATCTGCTGCGCTGAGCTGAGAGTTTTATTGTGTCTGTTTTTGTACCATAGCTGCTGCACCTTTGATGTATGTTCCTCGAATTCTGCATCACTTAGGGAACTGAGAGAGGAGCTGAGGGAGTAGAACGCCGACGATTCGTTCTTTATTAGATTTTGTTTAATCCTGTGGAAACCCCTCGGCTTCTGTTGGGAACTCTCAGTCCTGCCAATGTTCGTCATACTACGTGACAGAGTGTTTCTGTTCAGTTCCCTCAACTGTTTTCTGTTTGTTCGTCCCGTGGGTTCCGCAAACCCATTTTCGTGATCATGAAACCCGTAACTTTCCTCAGAAGAACGTGTGGTTGGGCAAACAGACTTTCTGTTCTTTTGTAATTCCATGTCCATGCTGGTGTGTGTCTTTATCACAGGCAGATCCAGTTTTCTGTTCAGGCCTGGAGCCAGTTTCTTCTTTTGCTGGTTTGCTGACGGATCTCGATTTCTTTGGTTTGCCACCCTGTCAGCCACTTCTTTGCTCTGCATTAGAACTTTCTGTGTTGAAACAACATGCTTAATTGTTCGGTCAATTTGTACCTCAGGTGGACATTGGTTTCTGTTGGGTTTGTGAAAGTGTGAGAACAGCCGCAGGTCTTCAATCCTCTTTGCCTCATCGTCGAGCACTTCCTGTCTGTTCATGCCTGTAGCTGTGCAGTCTTTAGCCCCTCTCTCCTTCACTGGATACTGAAGAGTCTCGTCACTTAGAGACGTTGTGCTGGAGAAGTTTACAGGTGTACGTTCAGCAGAATCAGTGAC